TGGCCTCCAACCTAATAGCGATGGCCTCCAACCTAGCAGCGTTGGCCTCCAACCTAGCAGCGTTGGCCTCCAACCTAACAGCGTTGGCCTCCAACCTAGCAGCGTTGGCCTCCAACCTAGCAGCGTTGGCCTCCAACCTAGCAGCGTTGGCCTCCAACCTAATAGCGATGGCCTCCAACCTAATAGCGATGGCCTCCAACCTAGCAGCGTTGGCCTCCAACCTAATAGCAATGGCCTCCAACCTAGCAGCGTTGGCCTCCAACCTAATAGCGATGGCCTCCAACCTAGCAGCGTTGGCCTCCAACCTAATAGCGTTGGCCTCCAACCTAGCAGCGTTGGCCTCCAACCTAGCAGTGTTGGCCTCCAACCTAGCAGTGTTGGCCTCCAACCTAGCGGCCTCCAACCTAATAGCGATGGCCTCCAACCTAAAAGGAGTGGGAATGCAAGGGACCCTCCAGATCAATTGGTCCGAGTCTTTTTGGTCCGAGTCTTCATTCCTTCTTGAGAAGCCCGACAGACGACTGGAGAATCCAAGGCGAGTGGCATCCTATGTCAATGCGTTGCAGAGGGAGAGGGAAGGGGTAGGTGGGTAGCAGTTGGCAAGTGGTGGAATGATGGATAACCCATGTTTCTCACGACGAGTGATGCATGCCCTGGGAGTGTTCATGACGAAGAAAGTGGAACGCAAAAAAACACCAAAGACTTGTTGAATGCTGTCGTCCATATGGGTTCAGAAACATGTCTCCCACACGGCCTAGCAGCCAACATATTGTGCGGTTTGAGGAGATGTTGCCATTGCTGGAGCGCTCAAAGATGGAGGCGACGCAAGGATTTTCCTATTTGGAGAGAGCAGACTCCACTAGAACGGCCTCACGTATGTAGAAGCATTTCCAGATGTCACAGACTTCCAGTAAGGAACAAAAACGCGGTTCCAAAGTTGCTGCTGTGTCTGAGGGTCTGGCTCGCTTCCTCCACAACTTTGTGAAGTTGAAAAGTCGGAAGAAGCTATTGCCTTTGCATCCAATGCTGGGGCTCGCGCTGAGGCCAGGTATGGCCTGGACCTTTTCGCGCTCCCGGGAAATCGCTAAAATCCTCCTAAATCTGAGGACACAGACATGACGTCTTGATGTTTGACAGCAAGCTCCACATAGCTCCAAACTGTTTGATCATTTGAGTGCTTTGATTGAGCAGCCATACTATTTGGTGTATAGAAGTGGATACACTGTTTCAAAGGCTTTGATTGACCTTCGTACTATTTCGTGCTTCGTTTGCATGTGGCTTTTGCATGGTCCCTGTATTCCTGCTCGGTTTTCGACCGCAGGTCATTGCTCCCAAACGCCCCTTCAGAGACAGTGGCAGTGACCAGCTTGGCGCTTTGCTATGCCGGCGTCCGTGAAGGCAGTGCATGGCAGGAGTGGAGCCAAGTGGACACATCACATGAGATTCCTGTTTGGCGGAGGGGGGTAGAGTGTTCAAGGTTGAACCAGCGGTTGAGCAGTAAATCGGATGTAAAGTGGTTCGCGCTTGTGAACACAGTCAAAGGCGCAACTGGATCAGATGTATGAGTGCCCCATTAGGCTCGCTTCTCTCTTAGCACAAGCTTCCAATGCCAGCACAAGCGCTGACAGCAAACCGTGAGACTGTTTAGACATGCCGTGAGACATGCGCAATGCAAGGAGCTGGCTAAGACCATCGCCTCAGGCAAGGGTAAGCAGTGCTCTGGAGCTTTGAACCGTTTGTTTTTTGTTGGCTCTCAGTTTGTGGTGACTTTGAATACTTACATTATCATCTATGTTCATATTTCTTCAAGCTCAAGCTAACAAACTCACAGGAAGAACAACTTCCAGCGTGTATGAACTAGAGGCCGACCCCACTCAGGCGTCGCACGTTTTGAGGGTCAAATAGTGTGCAAAATGCAGGTTTCTGAGCGTTTCCAAAAATGGAGCTTCAAACGTTGATGAAAACATCTCGAGCTTTTTTCCTCACCCTTTCTGGAAGTTGAGCAATGCTTTTGCCAAGCGTTTCACCGGCGAATCCTTTGCAAGATTGCGCACATTGTATTGAGCTGCGGGTTCACTGAGCCGTTGAATTGGGCTTGGCGATTATATAATCCAATATAATCCAATTATATAATCCAATATAATCCAATTATATAAGTCCCGTCGAAAATAGAACATGTTTGCACAACGAAGTTCAGGGTGTCATCCAACAAGGGCACCGTAAAGATGTCATTTTAAATGTACTATTGATCTAACAAAAAAGGTTCAAATGAAAGAGGGTCCCAGACACAGCAAATCCCTATGTGGGGGTTCCCTAACACCACACAAATGAAACAGCAAAACAAAACAAAAAGCAGTCGTAACATCCGACACCGTCATCCTCTAAGCCAAAAAAGGTCCAGTGGATAAGTGAGATCGATGACTCTGGACACCACACTAATTCTGGTACCTATGACCAGCATGAATTTTTGTAATGTTGCTTTGCAAAGATGAACAATCTTCACATGTAACATGAACATACATGAACGTCATTATCCCGGTCCAACCCCCGCCAACCCACCCCGCCCACCACCTTCTCACAACACGTTTCAGACAGTCCACGACGCGCCGGTGGGGTGGTACCCATTAGCTATGGCAAGAACGAGCTTGAAGACTGTGTCCAGTGCTCTAAGATGAATACTCCGGGGGGACATGTAATTGGTGTTTTCGTTTTGGTTTGCTTACGTAAAGATGTTTGATCGTCGCGGCAGGCGGGATGTGATGTGAGAAACTATCCGCAAAAACACACCGGTTACCCAGAACAGTGTGACCTCGTCACTTGCATTTATGTTTTTCTCATAGTCACTTGCATCCCTTAAACTTGGTCTGCAGGCCCTCACAGTTTCAGCCCACGGGCACTGGCGGAAACTCTGGCTGAGAATGGGTCAACAGGATCAGCAAAGGATAGACTAGAGTGACTAGATACCGTGTGCCCTCCGATTCACCAATTCTCTCCTCAACAACCAGATTAATAAGCTAGCGGCCGCTTGCAATCCAGCTCTACGGTGGTCAAACGACTCACGCCTCCAACCTAATAGCAAAAGGAATGGCAATGGCCTCCAACCTACTCGCGATGGCCTCCAACCTAATGGCGATGGCTGTAAAGGTATGCAAAGGTACTTTCCGACGAACACTTCTCAGTCAAGATGATTTGGTATTCAGTGAGATCAGTGGCGGCACTCCTCCTACTAGACGTCCATGTGATGATGCAGATAGGTTTCCCAGCAAGTACTTTGCACAAATGAGAACACTAGACGTGTCCAGGTAAAGTTGTTTTATGTCCAAGCTCAAGGGGTACCAGTTTGGACACTTTGAAGTCAGTGATATGGGAGGACCAAGCAGATGTTGACGAGCGGACTCAGAGAAGCTTTTGTGAGGAACTTGCTTGGTCCTTCTCGGAAGTGCGCTATGCCCATCAGGGGGTCTTTGCCACCCTCCTCCGTGGCTTGGAACGACCAAGTTAGACTTAAGGGCGGCAGAGCGCTTTAAAAGGCTTACTGTAATCTGATCGAGCCCCTAGTAGCGTCCTTGTTACTAGTAGCAAGGCCAGGAGCCCCTAGTAGCGTCCTTGTTAAAAGGGGTTGAAGAAACAGCAATTTGCAAACACCATTGAAACCAACGCAGTTAGTTACTGAGAATGGGACCTACTAAGATCGTTCCTGATCCGCTTGGAATGCAGACGTGCCGTCACCACGAGAGGAAAGATGGACGGGGTGAAGCAAATGGCCAACGACCAGGAGAGGTCCGTCTTTTGTTGGGCCTCAGGCAACTTGGGCACCTTGGCAAAGACAATTTAGAAAACATTCAGACTAGAGTGATTTCTGAAGCTTCTAGGTCCCAGTCCCAATGTCAACGTCTCAAATAATAGAGATACTCCAGAGGCGAAGAACGTTTTAAGTTTCCCTAAAAAATCCAGGAAGCAAATCATTAGCGCTGCGTGCAGCTAACTTTGCCTAGTAGCGAACTAGTTTCTCCCTTACTTGATGTCTAAAAATGGAACCAAATCAGTGCGAACGCTTCTTCAAGGAAGCTTCCCTCGCCTTTAGGGCGGTGGGCGGAGCTTCGAAGCGTGAGTTATCTGTCCAGTTACTAGTAGTGTCCACTTGTAGGTACTAGCTACCTCTAGCTACCTCTAGCTACCTCTAGCGGCCGTGGCCGTCAGGTTTCAATTGCTCTCAGATCTTTGGACCTCCCACGGCCAATGTCGATCCTCAATTGGCGCAGAGTCTTTTTCAGCGTCTTTCAGCCTTAGGGCAACAGCAGCTCGGAAGGATACGAAGGATACACAGCTATGCTTCTAGCTCGGTGCTAACAGATTCTAACAGCTTCTTTGCTCGTTTTGTGCCACCTTTGTGTTTAGACAATGCCCCACGTTTAGTATCGATCCCCCTTGGGCTGCTCAACGGCTGAGGAGCGGCTTTCAGTGCTTAAGCAGGGACCCCTTCCCTCTGCCGCTTGGCCCATCACTGTTTGAGTTCATCTCCTTGGGGTTGACGACAGAGCTTGGCCACTTCAAAATGCAAACTTTGCTGTGTAATGCAGCATTCTTCAGGCCAACCGCATGTTTCATAGTTAGAAGTACGCACAGTCGTCCTTTGCAACATGGATTTTGTAGAATTTTGTCGACAGTGTACACAACGACAATACCTGAGATTCTTTTGTTGCTTTTCAAGTTGTCATGTGCCCTCTACCTGTCATGAATCGTGGCAAGGTTGCGAAGGCAGCAAGCACTCCCACCGGATGTTTGTGCGGAGCTAATCAGAAAAGCAGATCAAGAGGCAAGGACTCTTTTGGAGTAGCGGCGTAGCGTTTCTTTGAAGCGGGCGGAGAAAAGGAACAGGCTCAAGCAGATGAGATAGACGGAAAGAGGACCAATCGGATTGCACTAGAATCACCAGAAGGTGTTCCAAGTTCGCAGTGTACCACACTTGTTCATTGCTTTTCATGCCAACCCACGAAGTCCACAGCGGCTCCAAAACTAAACGGGGCCTGGACCGTTTGGCTGTCAGGGACTTTGGCAGAACTCCACGGTGGTGGGCGGAAGCCGGCAAGTGGTCATGAACAACATTCGAACATCAGTTCCTTGGGTAGCATCGAATGGGACGCAGTACTGAACCCCCCTCCCCTCACCTGTCAAGACAAAAGATAGATCTTGGATGATCTCAATCAATGTCATTTCCGCCTGACAGCTTCAGCTGAAAGTGTTTGCAGTCGTCAAGGAGCCTTCCAGTGGGATTTGGATAGCTGTTTGGATGTGCTTGCCCAAGGCGACGGCTACATTCAACTTGCCACATCACGAGGAAAAAGGGGGCTTTGACTACTTTAAACACACATGTGTTCGATCTATTCGCTCAAAGGTCTCATCAAGGATCCAGCATTCGGCTAGGTCCCAGAGTTTGCGTGGGGCAGAGTAGGCGAGAGATGCCATGTTCCTCGTAAAATTAGGTGGAGGTGGGGAGAGAGAGGGCGGTATGTTTTCCGATTTTGTGTTCATTTTGGGTGTGTTGAGCGATGCGTAACCCAGTCTAGACACATGGCACTTCCAGCATCCATGAAAGATCATCAATGTGACGGGCATTGACATTGACATGCATGAAAAAGTTGCCCTGGCTTTCGTCCCCTCCCTCCTCACCCATCTCCGCAGTGCAACAAATACATCGATATTCCAACAGGGAACCCAGTGAATTTGGCAATCATGCTCTTCACATACCAATGATATTCTCTCCGGCCTTCTTGACGCTCCTGACAGCCAACTTCGATCGGTAGGAGGATGAGCTTTTGTATGGGATTCGTTCCTGGGCGGCGCAACTGCTGGGCCTCCCCACGGACTTTGTGGAGCCTTTGCAGCCCCTGGGACAGAGCGTTATTGTTGAAAAGAAAGCGCAACATGACAAATCAAACAACATGAAATTGAAATCGGCTGGCAACAGCCGAGGATCGCCCGATATTCCTGTGGCCAGGAGTACAAAAGGCGAGGGAGCTGATGTGGCAACCGAAGCCGAAAAACTGAAAAGGTGAAAAACTGAATCGAGGACTGCCCCTGGCGCAAGTAGGATGACTGCTGTGGGCTTGCATTTTGTCGATCTCCAAAGCACGCCGCATTGATTGTGTGGCAAGGGTTGTCGTGGATTTCGAGTCAACTCCAGGCATTTCGATTGGCGATCAGCCAACTTCAATGGCATTTGGATCTTTGGTCAGCGGGTGACTTGAAGGCATTGTCTATGCTTCGGACGTATGATGGACATTGGTGCACCTGCAATTCGCGAGCCTGTGCTGTGTGAACGTCACATGGCGTCACATCAACAATGCTTCAGGTTGCAACAATCCTGGTGTACCTGAAGACACTTCCTGCTGGCGCTGGGGGCGAGACAGAATTCAACCAGTTGAATCTTCAGGCAAGGGCAGGGCACTGACTGCATCGGTGGCTTCCATTGACACCTTTCTTGTGTCCTTCACAAAGATCAGAGAAGATCAGAGAAGGATAGAGGAGGTGTCATCAAGGTGCCAATGAGAACAAACACATGTAAACAACCCTAGCTACCTGAACTGAACCCAAGACTTCTCAAGACAACCAGAATTGTCTTGGGATGTTGGAAACGGACATCTTGGGAGTAGTAACAAGAAGCTACTAGGAACAAGTGCATCGCTACTAGTAACAAGTGCCTTACTAGTAGTACTCGTAACAAGAAGCTACTAGGAACAAGTGCCACGCTACTAGTAACAAGAAGCTACTAGTAACAAGGGCATTACATTAAAAGGATGTCTCCAGATGTAGGAGTCGATGTAGGGATCCAATGTCGCCGGCAGGTCACACCAGTGGAAGGGACGGCGGCCATTTGGCCCAACGCATCCCAGCCCAATAGCGTGTTTTTGGGCCGAAGGCGAACGAACCGTGAACATGTGAGTCAACAGAACTTTCTTGGCACGTTCACAAGAGTTCGGGAGGTGGTCAGGACCTACGCTTTTGGCCGTAAAGAGTGTTTGAGCTAGTCACACGAGGCACTAAGAGACTGAAGTCAGACAGATGTCGGAGGTGTGGTGACGAGCACAGACTTTGCTGTGCTACTTTTCCTAGTATCCAATAGCGCCCCAGTTTTCGTAACATTAATATCCTTTTGATTCGCTTACAAACCAAGCAGTGACTGGAGGTGACATTGCAACACTCAATGCTTGATGTG